TATATATTGATTACTAAATTGTTACAACTTTTTATATTGTTATCAACTTGTTCTACATAAGTGTTTTGCATAATTATTTTGATATTTCAGAATGATTAACTGTTACTGACAATGCTCTAAAAAGTTTTAACATTTTAGCAATTAATTTTAGTGTCCTACATAATTATTTTGATAGTCCAAACAAAATTATTTTTAGATCTGTGTTTAGTTATTATAGATTTTTAGATATCATCTCCAAACCGTTCTTTCTGTGTACCTGCTATGGAACAATTATGTACGTAAACTGAGCTACAATTGATCTTATTATACAAAGATCTTTTATTCGAAAGAAATTGATAAACCGAAAAAAATATTATGTTAAATATTTATTATTACCCTTGAAAATAATTATTATATAATTATATTGAATATTTATTTAATGTTCAATTTATTTTTTCGTTTAAATTTTTTCAAGTTTTCTAAATTTTCCCCGTAGATGATTTATCAAGATTTTTTACGATTCATATAACTTCTATTTAGTATAATTACCATTTCCACACTATTTTTTAAACAGCATTGTTTTCGGGCTATCTCACTCGATCTTGCTAAATTTACTCGAGGTTACGCTTGGGATTTAAACGTGATTTATATGATTGTCGTGGCCATTTAAACTGCACCTTTCGCATATTTATGATTCTTGCATTGTCCGAAATTTATGATAAAATAATCCACTGCGGTATTTCCTATTTACGACTTGTGACATTTGCTTAATATTCGACTCTGATCATGATAATGTTGTCAGTAATTTTCCTCTATCTTTATCGAGTACGCCAAACTGGAAGACCCGTTATTCATACACTGATTTTTTTCGTAGTCGATACGGTGATTTTTTTTTTATGTTCGTGAATAATTAATATGCGATTTAAATCGTGAATTAATTTTGTGACTGTATTATATCTTATCCAAATCGAGATCGATGACCTTACCTCATTTATTCACTTCTGTTGTATCATAAAACTTTGGCAAACTTCCAATTATTTCTAATGCTTTGCAGAAACAGGAAACGTATAAGGTGCAAAGAAACGAATTTTGTGTTTTTTTGCTGGAAAAGCATGAGGTATTTTGCTTCTTGATTAATGGCGCGACTTAAGTTTCTTGAGAATACAAATTATAAATATTTTTTTATTTATAAAAGTAATATTTTTAATTATCAATTTACTTCTTTAGGAAATTATAAACTGTGTGTATCTATTTTCGTCACTATCAGTCAAAAGTATAATTCAGCTCGCAGGTTAAAATTAGAATGTAAAATGCATTCTTTATTATTAGCTCTTCTTGATATATCGTTTTGTAGTACCGTGTGCTCTTCCTGGATTCTCACAGTTGTTAGACGTCGACTGCTTTACAACTAGCTATTTTCAACCGTTATATACTGTTAGATTAATATGCATTTATTCAGTTTTTGTTTGCAAACAAAATAGATTTTTTATACGTTTGTGTGTAGGTACTTCTGTGTATAGCTAATATGTTTAAAACAAAATCTTAATCTTGTTAAGTTTTTTAGCTCCAAATAAGCTTGTAACGAATTATTTTACATATTTACTAAGAAAAAAGAATCAGTTCTATATATAAGTTTATAAGACTATTTTATACGGGATGCTTTATATTTTATTATTGTAATATATTATAAATATATGTTATAAAATTTTTTGCTTATTTTTTAAAAATAAAATTTGATGACATCAAATGACACAAAAAGAAATGAAACACTTCTTTGAATACTAATCTTGTTCGTTTACGAGATTATAAAGAAGATTGATCGTGACAGTAGATATGCAGCCGGGAGTCCCGGTATAATTCGTTTCTGGTATAATTATTGCAATGCTGATGATTACAGTGTAATCGCAGTTCTTTGAGAAAAACTACACACGTATATGTTTTTACATTGGTTTTTATGGCGTTTCTAGGCGCCGTTCCTTCGCCTTGTCTCTTTAACGGCGCTAATTGCGAATGACGTCCGGCTCCGTGTGTGTCACGTAGTGGCTGGTAAATTTTGTGTATTAATTCCGGAAAGCGTCTTTACGCAAGTATCTGAAGGACGACGACGACGACGATGATAAAGATGATTCGCACAAGACGCGAGGTTAAAAACGATATTCTATTTAAATTATTGAATTAGGACAAGGATATCAGGTATATACGAGGAAGACTAATATATAGTTAGAATTCTATGAGATTATTAAAGATTCCCGCGAATGATTGAAGCCTTCGTCCATAATTCCGCATAACTAATATTAATCTCGGGACTCTTGAATTTAAAAATTCAATAAATAAGTATGTCCGACAAATGTGAGAGTCAGA